ATATTTCCATTTTAAAGAAAATCTTGAAAATAGCAGAACTACAGATAAAAACAACAGCAATGACAAAAGCAGTAGAACTTCCAACACGTGCACCAGTCCCTAAAGAATAGACCCTGTCTACACTCATTAATCACTGTCATTGCTCCTCTGTCTTATCTCTACTTGTGGATTAATCTTGGTCATGGTTCTCATAGAAGAGGCATCCTTCAGTAGCCCAGCATAATTCTAAACATGTCCAACCAGCTACAGTTGAGATTCTTCCTATGTTATGTCATTGAAACCTCATCATTTCATTTTTTAACCTTAGTATCTAAGAATTCCATATGTTCATTTGCAAGATTGAATGAAACCGTAAGCTAACCAAACAGTGATACAAGAGGTTTGGGACCTGACCCATGAATGTGAAACAGGTTGAGGTAATAATTAGGAATGATGGCCTGGTTTAATGATCTAGCTTTTTCCCTAGAGCTGTGATGAGGGTCCATGTTTACAATAGCATCAGCTTCTGGAAATTACAGCCTTCACTGGACAAATGATGCTGAATTCTTACCGGTGAGCTGAAGGGGAGAAAGTTACGAGATATTCTTTTAGAAGGCAAGAGGAAAAGGGGACTTCAAAATAAATGAATAGTTAAGGCTGAACATGACATACAAACAAAGACTCTGCTTTAAGTGGAAAAAAATGATCTCAGTGGTGTCACGAGAAAATAATAGGGTTATAGGGACCACATTTTAATTTAGATTTTTAGTTGTATTATCACACTTTCCTGGTCAAGGAAATCCCCAGCCTTGGAGTCATTCATTTTGAAACTTTTCAGTCCCTTGACAGGGTGAGATGCTTTGCCATCGTAAAATGGCCAAAAAGAGTGGCACATGGCCATATCAGTGATTGTAAGGTTAATATTCTGTAATGACCACAAAGGAACCACTGTGCAGCCATTTATTTTAAACACAGGAAGGAACATTGTTGGCTGATGCCTAATAGAAATGAATCATTCTGGGTGTCAAAGCTCTTTTAAAAGCTTTTAAGAATGAAATGCCAAATCAGAAAGGAAGTGTCTGTAATCTATGTTCCTAACAAACAATTTCTTTTTATTTATCGACTTAGATTATTCTTCTTGGGAAGGATTGAAAATATTTGTATTTTTATTATATTTTTATCTTGCCTTTAAAAATCTAATGACTTCGATGCTGTAGTTTTAGATGTAAAGCATCTTCTGAGAAAAAAAAGAGAGAACATTTTGAATTCATATATTCACCTTTGTAAAATGTAAAATTATTAAGCCTGAATCTACCCATCAGGCACAAACTGGTGTCACCATACGCCCTCCTGGGCAGTAAAGGGGTCACAGCCAGCATTATGCAAATCCTGTTAAATAGCTGATTATAGAGGCAATGGCAACCAGAAGAACGGAGAAGCTGCTATATTTACGGTTAAAGACCTCTGTCCCCACTTCTTTCTGGACACTTCTGGGCCAAAGTCATCCCTCCTTGGCCCCGCTCCTGGCCAACTCCTCCCCTTTCAGGGTGAACAGTAAATAGAAAACAACAACAACAAAAAACAACTTCTTTTTCTGGCTGTCTCCCTTGTCCTGCCCTAAATCATGTACATAAAACATAAATGTTGTTGGACATTGTTAAATGCCCTCAAAACTGAACCCATTCTTGAAAGATTCAGATTATTACATGATAGATTATTATTCAATCATTATTGAGTTGTTTTCTTTTTGCCATGAAAATAGCCATACTCCCCTGCATTACTTAAGTTGAGGAAGAGGCTGAAAGTTGTACAGACTCACTCTCTAATGCCACAGTCATGTCCAAGTATCCCATGTTTACCGTTCAGAAACTGACATAAACTGTGTCACAGACATCATTTGTGTAAATCCAGTGGAAATTCCATCTTTCACTGGACAGTGATGACTGCATACTCATTCCTTCCAATCGTGCTCCTTGGCTTAAAATATTAGGGGTGACCTCTGCATCACACTTACCAGCTTTGTGAGGCAAAGATCCAGGTCAAGACATATTTTTGGCTTGAATTATCCAGGATTATTGCCTCTGTTTTCTACATTGCCAAATAGAAAACAGCAGACTGGTTGATAATTCTGCCAAATGATTGATATGTGTTTTCATACATGCCGTCTTTATTGTGCAGTACAATCAATGAAGGGTCTTGAACATGCAAAGAGAAAAGAAATGTGGTGCAGGAGAATAAACTTTGGTTTAAGGGTCCAAGGACAGGTGTTTCTTAAAAAGCATTATGTACAATACATAGAAATGTTGACTAAATTCCATCTTTCTAAAATCAATTACTATTTTATAAATATTAAGAAAATTCAATTACAATTTGCCAAGTTAAACAAAAAAGATATATTTATAATACTTCTAGAGGGAAGTAATTTCCAAGATTTCTTACGGACAATTTTGAATAGTATCTTACCAAAGGGTGATGTGTCACCATTTTCTTTCCTAAACAAAGTAAATCATATATCCCAGGAGGGAGGGAAAAAAGTAATGTACAAGCTCATGGTGGTTCAATCAGCATTACTGGGATGAGGGGGACAGAAAAACAAACAAATATATCTGTTTCCTGAAAGCACGCAATGAACATAAAGGTAAATTTGTTAATGAAATGTAGACTATTATGTAAACTTCCTTGTAAATTCTGTACATAGTTCATTGAACTGTTCCCTGTTGCGTGGTGGTCCTCAGCTTTGGGTGGATGTTAAAAAAATCTGATCATTGTAAATAATGTAAGCTTACAAGGCATTTGCTTTTCTTCATGAAGTGAAATGACTAGTGATTTGGGCCCAAACCAGAATCTTTTTAGCTCTTGCTCTTTCTCTGCCATTCTGTGTGTGCAGTTGTGTAACTCTGCTGCAAGCCATAGCCAGGTGTCTGTGATCACTGCCTCATTCCCCTACCCCACTGAAAGGGACAGCAGCTGATGAGAAGGCTGCAAGCCTGTGGGGCTCGGGAACAGTGCACCAGCAGAAACGGAAACTGTAGCAAGCTGCTCCTTGAACTGCGTCATAAAGATATTTGTCTTTATCAGTCATTCGTGGCTATTCATATATTCAGATACTGAATTATTCATGCTGTTGAGAGGGTCAGGAATGGAAGAGATATTCTAAATCCACAGGTAATCCAAAGCTTTATTTGCACCAATAGCTTTAGCTTCTAACTTCTTCCTTCCAGTTTCCCAGAACTTCTATTAAGAATAGAAGTGAATGAATGGGTTTGATCAGGATAAACAGTCAAATGTCCAAATGATGGGAAGGAGCAAAGGAAGAGACAGTAAATGACTGATAACACCAACAGGCTGATTCATTCCTGAAAGATCCAGAGGTAACTATGTCATTGTTTTTTAAAGGCAAAGAGAAACATTGATATACATTGGGATTTGAAAAAGTCTTTTTGGACAGATATGGCGATTCATGCCTGTAATTCCAGTACTTTGAAAGGTCAATGTGGGAGAATCATTTGAGGCCAGAAGTTTGAGACTAGCCTGACAACATAGCAAGGACTATCTTTATTAAAAAAAAAAAAAAAATTAGCTGGGCATGTGGTATGCACCTGTAATCCTAGCTACTTGGGAGGCTGAGGTGGGAGGATCACTTGAGCCCAGGAGTTCAGGTGAGCTATGATCTTGCCACTGCACTCCAGCCTAGGCAACAGAATGAGACTCTGTCTCTTTAAAATAAAAAAAGAGACAGAGAGAAAAAGAAAAAAAAAAAAAAACACATAAGTATTTTCCAGCTGGAGATAAGGATATGTGTGACATGTGCCAATTAAGCTTAAAAGAGTCTGGTAATTAAGTGTTCTCAAATACATTTCTCCCAAATATTGATATTCCTGAAAAAGTCTTCAGAATGGTGGGATATTATGCCACAAGATGTGTTTCCATGCAAACTGGCAGTCCCAGGGAGAGCAATGATGTCTACGGAAATTCAGAATATCCAAGTCAGCTTGTTTCTTAGTAATGTTTTAGAGTGGGCACGTCTTTCTTGGAGGTAAGAGCTTTGCAAGGTAGGACTTTTTGTGCCAACATTTTAAGTGCCAGAAGAGTTCAGTAAGCCATTATTTTGAAACATTGGTTCTAAAATGTGCCAACTAGGGTCCACCATCAATTGAGAAAGAAAAATGCTTTTTTTGAACTAATTAGGTCAGTCAATTACTAGTTCCAGAACACACTGTGCTTTTACTTTAGCCATGCTTTTTTTTTTTTTAAGATAACTGAAATCAACTAAGTAGAGAGAAAACATAATTTTTGGAGGCTGCAATTTCACTAAAAGCATTTTAAAGTATATCGTTTTTAATAAAAGAATTGCAAACCAGAGAATAATAAGCTTCTGGGAGGATAAAGGTAAAAGAGTTTTGTTTGTTATTACTTCTCATATAGCAGGAATTTCCTATTCAAAGTTGTTTGTTTGGGTTTTTTGTTTGGTTGTTGGTTTTGTTTTGTTTTGTTTTTTTCTAATTAAAGAGTCCTTGTTATATAATAAGAGACTCACCACTCCCTACTGGCCCCTGGATACTTTGCATATCCTGAAAAAACCAGCACTCATTAGAAAGCCTGCAGACCAGTCAGAATTCAAGGTGGGAAAAGTGGGTGTATTTCTGAACGATTTGGGAAGGAAAATCATTCTTCTGAACAACGCTACCTGCATTTCTGTTTCTGCAGACAATCGAAAAACAGACCAATAAAAGAAAGGCCAAATAGCATTATTCATTTGCCTTAGGCTTACAGGGTCACAGATTCATTAGCTTAATACAGCTTCATTTGGAAGCCAAAGGATGAGCAAGAGCAATCAGTATTGCTACCTGGCTCTTGCTTCTTCTTCCTGGGTTTTTTGTTTTGTTTTGTTTTTCAGAGAAACAGGGAAGGGATGACATTTTCTAATATAATTGTTTATAGGTACAAATTGTTAAAATATGGTATGTGTGCATTTTGCAAGTTTGACTTGGGTAAAATAGATTACGTCTCCTGTCTTCTTGCCTTCACACACTGTATACCATCCTGCCTCATGTTAACTCAGTGAAATTGATTCCATTATTTTCCTCTTTCTTATTTCCAAACCACCTAAGCTATCGTGCCCGTGAAAAGTTGAAAGCTTTGACTTCTCTGGACTCATATTGTGTATTTTCAGTTGAATTCATTAAAACAATGAATTTAAATAACTTTTTCTAAATTCTTATTCCTGTTGCCTTTAAAAGTCCTTGGGAGGCAGGTTGTATAATCATAATAGCCTCCTCTAAACTGCCTTGAGTTATTTTTCTTTTCTGCTTTTCTGTCACTTATGTAAAGAGTACACGTGTTTACATAAACCTTCTCACTCCCAGCCTACTTCAAAATAAAGTGGAAATAAAATTCTTCAGCTCAATCTTATGGAAATTTATATTATCTTCCCCAGAGTTTGAAGATAAGGCCATCTCCTTACATTACAATTGCAATATAGTGAATTTAAAGTGTATCAGTCCTTTATCAAATTTGTTTATTCATGCCCTTTCAGTCTTAAGTAGGCCCATTTTACAATTTATTATGAGTCTTCCTAGAATTCAAATAGCACACCACTAGTCACAAACTGTCCTCTAGGAACTTGATGCATTTCATCTTTTTGTATATTACTCCCATTACAAATTTCTACTTCTGTATATCACCCTGCCCACTCCTCCTCAGCCTTGCAGACAGCCTGCAAACTGTCTAAATTTCACCCATAAAAATAGGGGGAACACCTGTTTCCTCTAGACAGCATTTATATAGATTTAGAGAATAGAGAGTTCTCTAAACATACACCAAGCAATATGCAGCCTAACCTGAAAAGTTAATAAGTGAGCATCATGATGGAGACAGGGAATTCATAGTGAATGGAAGACACCTTGAAATTATTAATACGATTGAGGACCTGGACTTTGTGCTGCCTCTGCCACTGCCCAGGTGCATGACTTTAGACATGCCACCAGATGACCTCCAAGTTCTCTTCCAAAACTAAATTTCGAAGGTAATTTTAGAGAAGTTCATTTGCATGGGAGATGGGCAGAAAAATACAGGAGCACCATAGTCTCTGCTAACACAACCCAACAAATTTAGTAATAATTCTTGACAGCATGTCTTTGAGAATAAGCTATCTCAATCAAGTGAATTGAATTCAATACCTATTCATACTGCTTTAAAAATATAGAGAACATCCAGTTACGTTTGCAAGCCAAGTGAAAATATGTTACTATTTTTGTAATGTTCTATAACTACCACTTAGAGAATAGAGAGTTCTCTAAACATATACCAAACAATATGAAGCCTAAGCTTAAAAAGTTAACAATAAGTGAGCATCATGATGGGGACAGAGAATTCATAGTGGATGGAAGACACCTTGAAATTATTAATACCATAGAGGACCTGGCCTTTGTGCTGTCTCTGCTACTGCCCCGGTCCCTTTAAGAGAGAGTCTCAGATAATACAAATCAGTGTTATCTGGTCTTTATTTTTAGATCTCTGAAAGATAAAGATGTCCTTAAGCCATTCTCTGTAATTCAATCAAAGAAAAGCCATGAAACACCCATCATGGGTGGAAAAGCCAATCTATACGCAGCATCTAAGCCCAAATGTTGTTGCAGTGCCCTTCTCAGTCCTGGACCCCACACTGTCTTGTTTCCTGAAAGTAGAGTAGCAGATTTTTTTGAGTTCTCAGGCAAGAAGCAGCTTTTTATTTATAATAGTTGGAAAGATTCAAGGTCTTTAGAACCTCCATTATCCGCTCTCCTTGTTCAACTCCTTCCATCCCAGCTTACCTAGTTAAATCCAACTGTGTTAGGCACAGCCATGCCAAAACTGAAAATGTATTAACTTGTGATTAACATTCTAGCTATTAATGTTCTTCAAGCATGCATGAAGAATTCCAGTCTCTGAACACGGTCCTCAATTCAATTTCTGCAAACAGCTGTTCTTAACTTTTTTTGTTTGTTTAAAGACACCTTCCAACTCTAAAGTTTTATGATTCTCCTGAGAATTTCTTTACCAGTCAAGCTTTTTCCACTGTACTAAACTGCCTAGATTTTATCCATTTAACTTGATGATCCAGATTTTGGGTAGTTCAAAAATGAGTGGAGAGTAGTGGGGAAGAGAACTGTTCCCACTCCCAACAGATGAATATTGTGCTCATAGACACTCTGTGTCCAGTTTTGTTTTCTGTTTTTTCCTTCTGCTCCGCCCACCTGCTTTCCCATACACAAAAGCCCTTCCTTACTCTCTTGAGAAAACATGTAGAAGGAAAGTTTGCACAGCAGCTCAATAGCCTGAAATGTGCTCCAGTTCTTTTTGGTTAACATTATTGTTGTTAGAGGACTATGTGACCCAGTTTGCCTCAGACAGTCTCAGTGTGTAATTACTAAGAAAATTCTCAAAATTGTCCATGTGAATAATAAATTGTAAGGCCACCATAATTATGGGATCTCAGCAACCTGAAGGGTGGGGGAAATATTAACAAATTTCACATTAACACACTAGAGAAAACATGTCTTGGCTCCCTTCTCCACCACTCATACTCACCTTATTTCTCCATGAGTTCCTTAGCTTCCAGTGAGCTCATCCTCAGGTCTTCCTTATCCTTCCACTCCAACAGCCACACATCATCCCAAAATGTTCTCACTGCTGTGCTTGAAGTTTTACATTTTATTTCCACTGCCTAGATATTCTTCTTCCTAGCTCCACCTCAAGAGTGGTTTAAGAATCAGGCCAATATCATCCAAAATGCAGTCCTCAAGCACCCTTCCTCATTCAGTTCACCCTTCTGCGAACACTCCCTCAATTCATGTGGTCACTTTGTTCAATAATAATAGATAGTTTATTTGCACATTTCTAGCTTTGCAAATATTCTGCCACCCTAAATGGATTGTGAGGTCCTTAGGAGTAAACGCCCCATTTTCTAATTCTTTTGTATTATCTTTGCATCAATTGTTTTGTCCATGGCAGGGTCTGTAAATGCTGATTAAATGACCTACCATGGGAAATACAGAAAAGAGAAACACTTTTTCATAACAAGCAATATTTCAGGATTATAGATTATGCCTTGTGGGACAGACGACCTCTACACTCTAAGTTATTTTAGTCCCACAGAGCCTATATCTACAACTTCTCCATGAATAAAAAATGCAGTCAAAGTTACAGTAGAACCCAGGTTTGGGCCTTGCAAAGTGGTCATTAAGATTTTTTTCTACTGAGATTTACTAAACAGACTGAATCCTGATAATACCACCAATTTAGATTCTACCAGTTCTAGGAAAATTGAATATTCTATCCTAATTACTGCTGCTTTTTCCTTTATGGAAAAAGGAAAGTTTTCTTTTATAGTTTTTTTCCCCTGTTTATCCTTGCTTATTAAAAGCCTTTTGAATCTAGATTCTACAGGGTATTTATTCGTGAAGCTGGGGCTATACTGCATTATTGATGGAACATTCCAATGTGAATTCTAATACTCCCAGAAGGTGCTGCACAACAAATTCTATTTCTGCCAAGATACAAATAGGAGATTTAGAACTATATAAGAGGGATGGACAGTTCTTGACATTCAGCACGGCTTCTCAAAACTGCATAAAATATAATAGATGTACAGGGAAATGCATTTTCCACCTCCACCCCTTCTTTTAATTATTAACTTTCCTATTGTCCTGTTAAATATAGTATTTACTAATTTACACAAAAGAAATATATCTTTTGCAAGCCTTACCTCAGAGTGGCAACCAGCCATCCCAGTTTACTAGACAACATATTTTTCTACTTGATATTCCCCAAATACATTGAATTGCAGCATATTTGTTTTTTCTTTTTTAATTAAATCATTATCTTTTTCTTACATCTTTTAAAAATACTCACTGGATAAAGCTTGAAATTTTACAATACCCCTGAGACATTTTTAGGGAAGTCCTTTGATTATTCTAACTTAACATCAGTGTCATGGAAAACAGAATTATATATCAAAGTGTTCTCTCATATTCAGAACATCCAGTACTCTTCCAAGAAGGGAATGTTCAGATTATGTACACATATATTTATTGACTATGTTGTTCAACTCCTTATTTCAAGGACAGTCAATAACTTTCTTTCTTGATAAAAACTACCATGTGAGCTGGGCATGGTGGTTCACATTTGTAATCCCAGCACTTTGGGAGGCTGAGGTGGGCTGATTGCTTGAGCTCAGGAGCTCAAGACCAGCCAGGACAACATGGTGAAGCTCTGTCTCTACTTAAAATACAAAAATTAGCCAGACTTGGTGGCGTGTGCCTGCTGTCCCAGCCACTCGAGAGACTAAGGTGGGAGGATCACTGGAGCCCGGGAGGCTGAGGCTGCAGTGAGCTGAGATCACACCACTGTACTCCAGCCTGGGTGACCGGGTGACAGAGCGAGACCCTGCCTCAAACAAGCAAGCAAACAAAACAAAAAAACTACCATGTGCGTTATTACTAAGCCAAGATTTCACAAGGCTTTTGAAAATTCCAAATGGCTTAAATGTTTACAAGTACCAAAAACTTTTTGATATTTTAAAATAAGATTTTTCCTTTTTAATCACCGTGCAGTATGCTGTGCCATCATGATGGGAGCCTGATGGCTAATGTGAAATAATGTTGGCATGTCATTTAAAAGGTTAACAGGGCTAGGTGCAGTAGCTCATGCCTGTAATCCCAGCACTTTGGGAAGCCGCAGTGGGCGGATCATGAGGTCAGGAGATCAAGACCATCCTGGCTAACACGGTGAAATCCTGTCTCTACTAAAAATACAAAAAAAAAAAAAAAAAAAAAAAAAAAACTAGCCGGACATGGTGGCATGCACCTGTAGTCCCAGCTACTTGGGAGGCTGAGGCAGGAGAATCGCTTCAACCTGGGAGGTGGAGGTTGCAGTGAGCCAAGATTGCACCAGCGCACTCCAGCCTGGGCAACAGAGCAAGACTCCATCTCAAAATAATAATAAAATTAATTAATTAATTAATTAAATAAATAAGAGGTTAACAAACATGAAAATTGGGAAATTTAATATTGTTTAATACAAATAAAATTGTTTTTGAAAGACATCTGGGTTGAGGGTGGCTTGCTTGAAAACTTCTATCATCTCGGAATAATTATTTTGCTCCTCCTGACTTTACATAAGGCGCCTAACCCTGAGGCAAAGACCTTTTTACAGTGATTCAGGAGGTTTGAGAAAGCAGGACTCATGAGACTAAAAAGTAGGAAATTACTATCCTGCCAGCAATGGAACACCTCTTTGGCTACAACCTCACCTAGAACTTGATTGAATCAGAAAATTAGTTGAACTTTCCAAACCAGTCTCCTGCTATTTTAATTCATAGCATGCAGCTGGGGCTTTCAAAAGCAGGTGCTACGTATATACAGAGAGAAATACATGCCTTTGGTTGCCTCTCAAAATCCGTTATGCTAAACTCACCAAATACGTTACATGTTAAATGTTTTATTCCTTGTGTTTTCAGATCTCCAATTATCAAGTTGCTATCTATCCTCCTACCAAACATGATTTAATCAATTCATACCCTGATCAGTATTATAATTCTTGTAAATAAAATAACCCTTTTCTCCCTCTTTATTTTTACCAGGTGTAACCTCTTTGATTGCAAAGAAACATAAATTACAATATTTTAACACTCTTTTGACATAAGCATTCGCTTTCTTACATAAGCAGGTAATACTTTTGTACTCCTACCAGACCACTAAAGAAGCTAATGGCAAGAATTAGTATTTCTGTAAAACCTGTAGAAATTTTAATGAAATGGGACAGGTTTCTAAAAAAAAAAAAAAAAAAAAAAATGCCAAGAAAGGAAAAGGTTGACTCCTTACTTTTATATTTCAAGTTTTCTATTTTGTATCAATATATGCTGCATTTTCTGATTGAATTTGCTGTTCTGTCTAATGAAACTTGTGATTTTCGGTAGTTGCTTTTTACATTTGAAAGCAAACTTTCATACTGTGTGTGCTTAACTGTACCCTTTCTGTTAGGGATTGATTAAAATACTCTGTTTCATTAATTCCTTTTTATGTGCTAAATGTATGTGACATTTATGGCTTTGTTATCTTAAAAGCTATCTGTGGACAAAATCCATGAAGCCTGTAGACTGTGATTTATATACATGAAAGAAAAAAATCAATTTCCTTCTAAGCAGTGAATCAGTGAATATGAAACTGTTCAGTGGCCTCTGATTCCTGACCCTTTATCCTTCATGGCCTTTTTTCTATTCATAAACATTCCTTGAGTAATTGTGTGTTCTTGTAAAATGCAAAATCAACTTACATGCAATCAGGTATGGACACAAGAAATGCTTGTGCTCTCGATTTCAGGACTCACAGATACCATAACAGTCACAGGACTGTAGTTCACTCAGTATTTTTGTTAATAATGTGGCTTTGCTATAAAATAAGTTAGTGTTTCCTTTGCTTTGGTACTACAAGATTTTAAATGTTGCAGCAAATGAAAGAATGAAAACACATTTGAAAGCTGGTGTCAAAAATCATCAGCTGTACTTACAAAAGTTGTTGTGCAGCT